CCAAAAAAACAGTTGTTTCTCGCATTCAATTAAGTTAAAAAWCAAAAACAAAAAAGATATCAACATACACAAATCCACTTAAACTGATTATAAAATATTAAAGAAAAATCTCCACWTTCTCGAWCGAAGGAAATTTTTTTGTACCAGCCAATCAGCGCGCTMAAGCTCAGACCCTCAGCATTTGCCACAGACATGAAATACATGTACTATGCTTGTGAAATKTTTGCTCGCTTCCCCTAGTATAAAAAGCACTGYCGTGCATAWGTAGTACCAATCTTACCTGTGTGATATCAGGGATGCAGTGGTCAAGATCACCAGGCGAGAGTAAGGAAGATACTTTATCCAAAAGAGAGTGAAGAGTAAAACCAAGGACGTGTAACTGAAAGAAAAAAAGAATAAAAAAAGGTTATTTTCAAAATTAGCGATTATTTGCAAGAAGGCACATAAAAAAATACCCTGATACATGCTTAACAAACAAACCATGACCCCCCCCCCCTTTCAAAGCCAAAAAAAGCGAGAAAACCATAGTTTGATTTGACATCATATTGACGTCATAGTGACAATTTGGTATGTAGCGACCCCCTATAAAGGGGCACATAAAAACCCCCTTATACATGCTTAACAAACAAACCAATCGYAACAAAAACATAACGTCAAAAATGGACATTATACGTTACGTCACAGAAAATATTGCAAAAAAAAGCATTGCACAAACGTACAGAACTGCATCATTAAGCAAACGCTAAACAAATGAATCATTGCGTAAAAATYGAAGCATACGTAACCGTACAGAAAACCAAGCAAGCAATACGGTTATAAGAGTACACACAGTAAGGCAAATGAAAGACGATTTCTCGATGGGTTACCTGGTATCCTCGTGTTAAAGTACTCTTCATTTCTTTCACGATAAACGAGAAGTACTTTGTCCCGAGGGATAATGCAATTTGACAAAGAACATCCCGCGCGGTGTCCCGTACGTCTCGGGCGCGACTTTTTAGAGTAACACAGACACGAAGAAGCAGCCTGCAAATAATTGGAGTAAACATTGAACAAGTAAACAAATGACCATTTCATTACTAAAACCACCTTCTTCGTTCTTAATGCTCCACAAAAACCAGGACCGTATCCAGGAAGAGGGGGGAGGGTTGACAGGGTACCCGTGATCCCCCTTTCAAAGTCAAAAAAGCACGAAAACCATAGATTAATATGACATCATATTGACGTCATAGTGACAATTGGTATGTAGGGACCCSCCTAGTGAAAATCTTGGATACGTCCCTAAAAATTCACTCATTGGTCTTCCATTGTTATGACGCCATGTTGATTTCTSGGCGAAGTGCATCTTGGTATTGATAAATGTATCGGATGATTTAAACAAATCTAGAGCTTTAATCGAAAATATTGATATAAGTTGCCTGTAACATTATCTATAAAACTGCAATGTTCTTGATTGAAAGCTGACTTACCCTGGGAGGTGTAGGTGTAGTGTTTGTTCTGGAAGAGACTGTAGGAGTTTTACCATGGCTAATACAATTGGAACTCTCAAAGCTTCCTCTTCGTCGTCTTTCTTCATGTTCGCTAACTTATGAAAACTTTGACTCTATATAAAGAAATAAGTTGAATTAGTGTCTACTTTAGTCTCTATAAGTCACAGTTTACCCTTTTGTCGGGCTTCCTGTCTTTTCGTTTTTGGGGGGAGGCACAGGAAGCCCGGCAAAAGGAGACTATATCTACTTTGGAGAAGCGATGCCTTCTCTTCTAGTTTATCACCGTATACCTTCTTAGTAAGACTCTTGCTTAACTGAGGAAGTATYTTCTTTGTAATGGTTCCATATATACGCACAGCCAAAACCTTATCCATAGCATCACGTGAGCCCTTTGTACGGGTCTCCTCATTCCCATCATCCTCTTCTTCYTCCTCTTCATCCTCCTTGAGATTATCGCCTTCCTGTGTATCATCTTCAACAATGGCTTTGGAATCGTCAGGCTTTTCTAGATTGTTTACAAGTTAACAAAAGAAATGGAATAAAAAGAGGGAAATTTAGAAGTAAATCAGTAGTCTCCTTAACGGTTCTCTACGCCATCTTGAAAGTTGTGCCTTTACATCGAAGCGAGATGACCGTTGAGTGTGCAATGATAGATACCTGTGTATAATTGTCTGTAGGTGTGAAATAAGGTTTCTGTCATTGCACACTCAATGATTGCCCCGCTTGAATGCAAAGATACGGCTACCTTTCAAAATGACGCAGAGAATCGCGAAGGAGGCTATTTTAGGATGGCAAAAATCACAGAAACTCCTCTGCAAGATCTCATGAAAAGTGCGAGAAGGGGGAAATGAAGTTAAAGCAGTTTTTTATTTTCTCATTCCCACGATTCTTATCGATGTCAGATCGATAATGGCTGATGATTAAAAAAAACTTCAATAGTCTTCTTCACTGTTCCCTTCGCCATTTTGAAAGGTAGCCATGCCTTTRCATCGAAGCAAGACGACCGTTGAGCGTGCAATGATAGAAGCCTTCTTTCACACCTACAGACAATTATTCACAGGTATCTATCATTGCATGCTTAACGGTTGTCTCGCTTCGATGCAAAGGCACRGCTACCTTTCAAGATGGGGCAGGGAACCGTGAAGGAGACTATTGCTTATACGAACCTTGTAGCAATTCATCTTCAGTAAATGTATACGAACTTAAGTCAAAATGAAAGCCATTCAGAACGGCGACCAGGACCCTACAAAATAGCAGACAAGTAAYTAGTGATGGATAATTAGTGATTAGATCATGAAAAACCTGTTAAGAGTGGYTTCCATTATCACTTAAAACAAAGTGCAATAGGTCAAAATGTAATTATAAAGTTATACACCAAAAAGACATGGAGAAATGTAAAATAAAGTGCATCTGATCGAGTGAAAATAAGGGTGATACCTTGAAAAAACAACAAAGTAAAATGTGTACAATAAAGAGTTATTCCATTAATTAATCATCAGAATTCAATCAATCATTAGACTTTCTTTGGCTCATAGTAATAGTTTTGGTGTATTTTTTTCTGCATTCAAATCTCTATGATATTCCAGTACCTGACAATAAGCTTTTGCTTTTCTTTTTCACGTTGCATCGCTCTCAAATACGTCCTTAATAAGTAAGAATACTTTGACCAAGGTAGACACGACGATATGGCACCGATGGTCGCAATGGCCTGGGTCGTAACATTATGGTCTTTATTGTTGGCCGAGTATTCGTTAAGGTACGCCGTTGCTAGTGGCAACAGAAATGAGACGAGAGTGGAGGGCTTGAAGACGTCMTTGCTGCATAGTTTCTCAAGACGATGGAGAGCTCTGATTCGTCGATGAATCTGAATGTGTCTCATATTCTCAAAGAAGTCAGTTTCTGGGTCTTTATCKAYTAGAATAYGCATGTCTTTAAATGTTGCATTGTCAAAKTGGCGAACCAGCATRGATARAATACCAAGGAACTCGCTGCGGGCCGACTGGGAACAAAAAGAAATATGTGTTTTGTAACGCTTTTAAGTACGTCTGGCTCCCAGATGGGTGGTTGTTTTCAAACCTGCTTTATATGCTTGTTTGCTGCCTGTATATTGCTGTCTGATATTTTTCGCTGTTGTCAATGATATTTTTGAGTATTACCGCTTTGATTGGTATATAATGCCGTCTGCTTACCGCTGCGTTTGTTTACTTGCAAAMTTGTTGTCCGCTTGTTAGTCAGCGATAGAAAGTATTCTCTACTACAGTCAACTCGCATGATAAAGGACACCTTCGGGATTCCTTTGGAGMAGGAATTTACAGGGTGTTTGGGGCGGGAATACAAAAGGTTAGTTGACTATAGTCAGTCAAATCGATCCGTATATAGTCGATCATTGTTCCCTCGTTTATTACCCTGCGAGCAGAGGAATTTTTCCACTATCTACGAAAGGAGGTGGAACAATCCTCTGTTCGCAGGGTACTCGTTTATAACAACTTACCTCACTTTTCGCCTTCAAGGCCATTTTACAKGACGGCAGAATACAATTCACAATCAACTCAGAATATTCTTCCTCGTCGTTTCTACTGACAACTCTCTGTATTATTGAATTTATACAACTAACAGCAACATCTCTTATAGCCATATCCTCGCTACGATGGACGCAGTAAAGGCAGTTATGGAGAATTGGAAGGATCTGGTCAATTGAAATGAGATCTGGTGGAGAATTGGGAGCTTTGATACTTGGTGAAGAAGTCCAAGCTTTTCTTCTTGGTGGAGAACCCTTCTCTTCATTGATAACAGTTTGATTTTTAATTAGTTGAGTAGCAGTGATGAAACCATCAATTCTCTTGCCATAATCTGGTTCGTCAATCTTCTTTTCATCCCACAAGTTCAGCTGTGTGACTATTTTCGCAATGTTTTCAAAACTAGACTTTAACCTTCCAATTTCTTGAAAAATCTCACAAAGAAGCTGCCTTGAGCTACGGGCGTTGAATTGCGAAAATAATCTCGCTAACGGCTTAATAAAATCCAATGGATTATCTACATTTGATAACAAATTCTGGATTGTTTYCAATATATAATTCTCTATTTCTTCTTTCTGTCGAAGCCGTAGTAGTGGAATAAGAAGGTTTAAAAGTGACGTCGAGTTTTCATTGTCCTTCACGAAGAGACTTATTCTCGATAAGACTGCTAGTTCAAGTTTAGGAAGAGCTGTCTTTGTTCGCTTTGGTCCTTGTTTATTGTTACTGGGTTTGCTAAATGACTTGACAGTAGATGTAAGATAGGWTATTATGATGTGGATGTGAGGGAGAACCAGACGAGTACCCAGCGGTGGAAGAGAGTCTTGATCCATCAAACTGTTGGAAAAGATAYGACATTTCGTATAAACTCTAAATATATCAAGGCAATGGTTAACCAGCATGCTTTGCAAGCTTTTGTTTACGTGTGAAAATAAACATACATCGAATCTTAATAAAAGATCTAATCTTCATTATCCCTTTACGCTATATGAATGGAGATATTGTAATGAAATTCGACCTTAAAACCGACGGATGTCAACGGATTTCYCTATATGAAAAATTTAAACAACGAGCGCATTGAATGCCGGTTGATCACAGCCCTTGAACACGGAACAGTCTTGGAAAACGAAATTAAATGCTGCTCACTAACCTAGAATCTTGTTCCATCGGTTCCACCTCGTCACCATTCCCTTCTGTATTAAGCAAGTTGTCAGTCATCTCCATCACCATAGCAACCACAGAAGGCCCAACATTAGGTGCACAAAGACACTTTAACACGTGAGCCATTATTGACGTGTCRGGACAATTGGGACGTTGTCTTGACAACAAAGGAATTAAATGTGGGTATGTAGTCCAACAGTGCAGAAGTTTTAAGAGTGCGGTGGGACTTTGAATGCTTTCTTGTTGTAGAGTTTTAATCTGAAATAAAACAAAGCTCCAGTTTGCAAGTCTTTCAGAAAACGTGTTTGCGCAGGCTTCGCTTCAAGTCAGTCGTTTGTTTCTATTTTCCAAAGACAGTTTTTCAGACCTTTATATAAAGTTTGATTTATTACGTACCCTTGGATTAGTCGAGAACCATGTCTACACGCTCATGGACGACACCACTCAATCTTACGCGCTCTCTGATTTAACTGAGCTGGTCAAACGGGGATCCGGCTTGAATTTTTAAGGGTGGCTAAACGGATTTAATGGGGACCAAATAGGCTTTATTTGTTATAAATAACAATGAAAACAATAAAAAAGTAAGGCTTTTTATGTACAGCACCCCTTTGTCCCCCACCCCCCTAGATCCTCCATTGCTGTTGCACGCGCTCTGTTGTCCTTTCGTTTAACCTTTGGCATTACCTGTGGCCATACAGCAGCATCAAATAGCATGTCAATCAATGTTGAAAARTCATACTCTGGTTTGACCTCAAAAAAGTCAATCAAACGGTTGATGGCAAGCTGTCGAATTTGTTTGAGCTGTGCGATGTGTGGAGGGTGAACCTGAAAATATATATACAAACAAAGAAGTTACGAACAAATATTCTGCGAAATGACAAAAAGTAAACCTATCTAGATAAAAGAGAAAGACCAACGTCTGAAAACTCAGTAAGGCTATCATCTTTCATGATGTATAAGTTGTCCTTTTATCACAAATAGGTTACTGATCTGCAATATTCTAACAGTTTGAATTTTAATCGTCTATGAYATACAACGCTAAAGAACTGACCTGCTCACGATGTTCTAACGCATATGCGCATGAGGAGAGTAAAGACAAACAGATCTGTAGAAGAGACGGTAGAAACCCATCCACATGGGAACCAAGCTTCAGTAGGATTTGCTGCATCATGTTCAGGAATCCCAATTGCTTTTTGATCGGAACGATGCATGATAAGTCACGTGTTACTGGGATGACTTGAGGGTCTGATATATAATGATAAAATGATAAAATTAGCGGGTGGCCTAGTACCTAGATTGACGCTTTACATTATATGTGATCATAAAATGCGAAATGGCATTCCAGGCATTCCTCTGGGCTTCCTTTGTTACGGTCATATTGACCGCTAGTGACTATTCTCCCTCTTCTGGCTGCCAGCAACAAGACAGGAAGCCCGTGACTGTGGACGAGGCTGTAACAAGTCAAATACTGGTGTTTGTTGTATGCCATAAGCGCAAAAATTTAATAAAGAAAAAAATAAAAACACCAAAATCAATGAATTGGTAGCCAGGCATATTTCAATATTTTAAAAATACTCAGAGCGTTTCAGGCAACTACCACCCCACGCTCACTCCTATTCTCCCTCTTATGACTCCCTGCAAAAAGACAGGAAACCCATTGCCCAGATTGATGTCTGCGGATGAGAATACGAGTACTTACACACTCCATAAAGAAAAGAGAAAATAGCAAGGAGTGGAAAAGGATACACACTATGTGGCGCTAAGAAAACCACCAGCCAAGGAACGTGAAGATCAAGACTTACCAATGCACAAGTGTTTGAACGGCGCAAGAATCAAATCCATAAAAACTGTTAATTCCTCATGGGTGCAGTTACCAAGGAAACGAAGCACAGTTGATCGACGAGCACCCACTCCAGCTTTCCCGGATGAGCCAGCGCCAGTCCATCTCTGCATTTTACCATAGAGAAKCCTGGGCACAAAAAGTGAAAAAATAAAGTGAATCAAGACGATAGCTGACAATAAAAGGCTGCTGATGTTAAGAAAGACAGTAATGATCCTTTCTACTCGTGATCCCATGTTTGTTGTTGATTCATGAGGGGGAAATAAAGAACTATAATTGTAAATACCTTACAATAATAGGCATTAAGCCCTCTCGATGAACGGAATCAATAACAGACTCCCCTTCATCCATCATCAAATTAGTAAGTTCATCTTTGAAGCTTTCATCCTGCAACAAACGCGCCAAATTCTCCTTATATGGGAMTATATACGGGAACTTGTACGTTTGCRTACACTGCACGGCYAGTTTCTGCACTTCTGCATCTCTGTGACCCAGCATTGTAAGATAGATTTCCCTCACTTGCGTTTCYTTAGAAAGAGCCTTTGGATTGTGAAATAAACTGAACAGATTTAAGTGGACACAAAGAGCCTTGGTAGCTGCCTTCCGGCGGACAGGATGCACCGGGTCTTGAGAGTCTTTAGATCGATTTAGTTGGCTATTGTTCTCTGATGTATTTGATTGGCTGTTACTCATTTCGTCATTCGCCTGGGAGATATTTGATTGGTCAATGACCATTGCGTCATCATCTCCCAACGTCATGTTTTGAGAAGAAGGGTTTTCCTCGTCATCCTCGATAATCCCCGAGTGATCTGATTGGTCAGCAACATATGTTACGTCACCGTTCTTTTTTCGGATATCTTGGGTGGGAGCGCTGTTATCATCAGAGCGTTCGTACTCATTCCTTTATAAATACAAACAGAAYAAAAAATATGACATGAAAACCCAAATTGTTGTTTTGAATGTTTTTCTGATCTTAAGATTCGGCGTAGCGACACCAAGGGGACTGGTGTTAGTCTTTTTTTTTATCCTCACCATGCTCCGCTCGACCCTCCCCCCAGTCTCCTATTTTCACTAAGCTCACCTCATGAATCTCAACAGCAGAGGGACAAGATCACGTGATTTTAATTCAACCACTCCAGGAAACTCTGCCATAGTCTGCCACATTAGGTGACGAAAGTTAATGTGATCTGTCCTGTTRTCTTCTCTTTGACCGACAGCAACACTWAAAARACTGGTGAACAGTTGGTCAAGACTATCTGCTGCTCCTTCTTYRTATTTTTTGACCATAGGAGGAGYTGACGGCAATTCAGAAGACAAAACGTTTTCTATGAGAAGAAAATGCAATCAGTATATAATTCTTTTCTTACAGAATTATTTTCTTGAAAAGCAAATAACCGATGCAAAATAAAA